ATTTTGATTCCCCACTACTCGCTGTAACTTGTACCTGTCAGAAGTTTGCAAAATAACTGATGTTATTTCCATGGTAACCAGAGAGTTAAATGTCAAGTGTTATGCTGCCTTAAATTATTTTTTTAAAAGAAATTTTAAAAAGCCTGCTAAAAATCAGTGCTGGGGAAAGCTGCCTGATTGACAAGCACGGGTAATCATCATCTCTCTTCTTGCAAAGCAGAGACAGCTACAATGACAACATTTCCCGTGAGACCACAAGCTCACCGTGCAGGCACCGAACATTCCCAGGAACGTAGTGCTGCAGCCTTCATGGCCACTAGCTGGGGACACGGTGCCACTTGTGACAGAAGCCCTGTGCCAGACACCCAACTGGCCCCGTGACAGTAAGCACCAGTGGTCACTGCAGCCCTGGGCTGCCAGCAAAGGTCTTATTCCACCCAGCCAGGATGACAAGCATAGGATCTCAAGGAAGCTCAGTGGGAGCAAACCTAAGGGACCTGTCAGCTCCCCGGGATGTTTGCTGGGGAGAACTGTAGGTGCCCCCACGTTGCACGCCTGCAGGACAGCAAGTGCCTCCCATGTCGCCTCTTCCCCGCATCAAACCCACCGCTGTTTCATCTGCAAGAGCTGAAAACTCCATCACTCGGCACCAGCTGAATTTCACATAAGCAGTCATGACAGAGCCACCAGATAACCTCCAGGAGAGCTGCGTTTTAAATGTTTCTAAAAATACACTAATGTGATGCAATCCTGATGTCCAGATTTGAGTTGGTTTGAGGTTTTGTTTTTTAAAAGTTACTACTCTTTATGGTCTCTGCCATCATTTGTAGCACTTTCTTGTGTTTTTTTAGTTACGCAATCTTTTTCATAGTTATGCTTCTTTTTTCTATGATGTGATACCAGGAAACTGGTAGGAAATACAGTTTCATTATCTCCAAGCAAATATATATTGTTTTCAATAATAGAAGTGACACTGTTAATCCATTTTATTGCAACTTAGGGTTTTCAACCAAAAGCAATCAAAAAACCCAGATGCTGAAACTAGTCTGGGGATCTATAAAAGCAAAGCTATTTGGTTATATTACAAATGCCTTTACATCAACAGATGATAAAAGATACGTACAGCAGGTTGCCCTCCATGAGTTAGTAAATTTGGTTAGAATTTGAGAATAGTCTTAATGCCAAAAATCCAAGCAGATGTACTAACTCCTCTCAGCCAGTGATCCTTCTACCTGCTGCTAGTGCTGGTGACTCTGAAGCATCACTTATTTAATTTGAAGGGAATCAAAGACCTCATACATGTTTATTGATGCATCTGGGTTGAGGTAAGAGCAGGACACATGGGTAAATATATACTTCTGAGATCGTTTCTAACCATGAGGTCAGGCACCATAAATTTTCCATGTCTATGTGAACTCTGGCAGTATTTCCACCCATCCCCTGTAGAAGGTTTCCACTGGATTGTGAACTATGTTTCAGCAATATTTCCAATCAGATTAAAACACACATATACAAGCATAGTGGATTTTTTGTTTCCCACATTACATGCTGTGCTACTATATAGTCTTGAACAATAGGACTTTGCTGTTAACATCAATACTTATTCAAAAACATTTTTTAAAATCTGATATTTTTAAAAGTTGAGCTAATTTATTTTCTGAAAAATCACTTGTTCAGTGGGTGATGATAATAGCAAACACTAGAAATGAAGAATTAGAAGGATCACAGCTCCTCTGTGTAAGTTTATGAGGATCCCTCCCTCTGTTTCTTCCTGGCTAAGTGACAGCATGAGGACAACTTGCATATGGGCTACATAAGGCATAACAAGACAGGAAAGAAGAATAAAGAAAAGGAAGAGATGATACATTTCAGTCCTACTCATTACAGGTACTGCCAACAACAGAAGCAGGTGCAAAAGTTTCTGACAGCAGTGAGTTTTTCAGATTTAAAGTGGCTAAACTCCAGAAAGCAGTTGTGGGAACTTTTAAAATTTGGACTCACAAAGAGACTGTAAATCTTATTCCCAGAGGTTTTATTGTGTTCCCACCACCAGCTCCCACACGCTGCGCTACAGTAATGCTATAGCAAAGCTGCAGAAATAGCTGGGATTTTCTTATACTTATCAATTGCATCAAGAATGCCTGTTAGTTCTTCAGTGTGTGATAGGATTTGCAAACATATTGATCGCTATCAGTGAAACAAAGCAGTGAAATCTGAGCATGGATTAGCCATTTCAGATTCAGCTACATATTATTCTTCAAATTGTCTTGCAGTCTTATTGACATGTAAATGGTATTTCTTGCTACATGGTCCAAACCATTGCCTTCATAAATCTACATGAGTGGAACCCTGCCGAGATGCAATTAAATGGTTTAAATTGAGGAATCATCACATTAGATTGATTGTGTTTTAGGAGAGTCACATGCACAACATTTAAAGGATCATTTTGTTTCTTCAGCTGGACAGAGTTACAGGACACTATTTAGAAAAGAATGAGAATTGTTTTTCTAGGACCTGCAGCCAAAGCTTTGTTGAACTGTTTTAAGGCCACCATCAACAATCCTTTCTGAAACAGCTGTGTACCTGCTATTGTTAAAAGAAACACCCATGTTTACTACAACTGAAAGACATTAGAAAAAAATAAACATATTTTCAGTTTGCCAACTTTGTGCACTCAGCACAGTGTGTTTAGTCAGCAGGATCGCTCATCTGTTGACAGTCACATTTTGTTTCCACTTGTGTTCAAAGCAAAGCATTTCCCCAGACTTCTGACAACGATGAGGACAATAAAACCAGCTGTAAACCTAATGTGCTGTTAAAATCCTATTCACTTTTAGGTCTGTTTCCCACTCCTCCAAACACTTACTTTTCCACCCTTCTCAGAGTAAAGCTTTTATCAATGATTAGAAGTGATGAGAAGAGTCGTTGTGATGGTTCTGCAAATTGGTGCAGCACCTGACCTCAAAGAAGAGCAGAAAGTTGCCAACAACCACCATGTAACGTGCTCCTGTACAAACTCCAGAAACTTGGGCAGCACAAGAACTGGATACTACAATAATAATTAAACTGAGTAAGAATAGCAGGGATGTGATAGGATAGCAGTACATTTTGAATAAAATGCAGAAGGACAGATAGAAAAGTTGCAGAGGTGGAGGTACAGAGCTGTGTGTTAGGAACGCTACAGTCTGCAAGATAAACTTAAAAAAAGAAGTATAACAAGAATAAAACAAAACCACTCTATAGGAGGATAAAGAAACCACTGAGTAATGCTGGGTAGTTAACTACAATGCCTCAAGGTTAAGTTTGGGAATCGGTAAAGATCTGAGTAATAGTATAGCTGATAATTCACTGTTTATTTGGAAACAGACTTTCAGATAAAGAATGAAGATGTAAAGCCAGTAATGGAGGAAAGGCAAAGAGCTCCTCGGAGAATTCCTCTATTTCTTTTATGCTAATGTATTAAGTCCATTAGAAAGACATATCCAAATGAATGAGACAAATACTGAATAAGGACAGAAGTCACCCTATGAAAGTCACCCTATAACATACGAGAATAACAAAAACTTAAAAATCTACATTACTCTAGAACTGAAGGAACAGATTGTTTCCCTTAAGATAATCACTACTACCACAGTAGAGGCAAAAGGGAAGAGGGATCATAAGCATAGGGTTATAAACGGAAAACATGACTAAGCTGGAAGCGAAACTTAAGTGCGATGTGCTGAAGTCAGAAGGACAACCTCCATCCGAGATCTGTGCAAAACTGCCAACAGCAATTTCAGTTCTGGTAATAGATACTTTTAATAAACTATTTAGTCAGGGATCATGACACAGAACTTGTAGAGCAGCAAATGCTGGGCTTGGATTAACAGCCTTGAGAGCATCCAAGTTTTTCTAAGTAGAAAAAACACAGTAGCTCTCACTGGCCTTGTTTTTTCCATAGAGCATTTGACAGAGTGCGGTGCTGGAGACTGATGGCTAAGACAGATGAGGAATACGAAGCTGGGCAAAGAGCTGGTTTCCAGAGCAATGGCAAGGGATGGTTTTGAATGAGGAAGTATTAGGCTGGATGAAAGTTACTAGTAGAGTTACTCAATGATTAGTCTCAGGGCAGATTTTGTTTAATTTTTTTCTTATTGCATCTGGTACCAAGTGTAGCAATGACAGACTTTGCTAATGAGAGAAGCAGAGGTGATATTTCATAGATAAGACAAAAAAAGGAGTATCAGCACCCGACATTTGAGGACTGACATAGTAGAACTGGGACCTGAGACATTCGAGTGCACAAAATGCATGATCATTTGCTTAGAGATTACAGTCAGAAACTTCGTTATCAGGAATCACAGTAGTTCATCACAGAATAAATATCAGACACCAAGATAATGCAACGATGCAAAGGGTAAAGGTTTCCTTTGATGATCATGAAAATGAAGAGCTTGCTGTGAGAGCTTGTGCTTGTCTCTTCTTTGTTGTGAGAAGACATTAGAAGAGTTTGTCTCAGGAGAAAAAAGGCTGAGAGGGAGACAGGGGATGCAATTGCTGTCTGACAGCAGACACCAGACAACCAGAGCAACCAGGTTTTAGAGCAGCCCACTCTTAGCACTAATGGCAGCAAACAAACCACAGCAAAAGGTTCAACAGACCTTTATGGTGGAGCCTGCTAATTTTATGACAAAATTTTCTTTTTATATACACTTATATAAACATATATGTGTATGCATATATATAGGTTCACATTACAATGAAATGCATGGCAGCTTTTGTATCTCACACAATTAAGACTGTTTTATATTTTAATTACCAAAACTGTAGCTTAAGGAATTGAAAGCAAACTCAAGGAAAACAAATTTGGAACTTTGGATCTATGCTTTCAAAAAACATGCAAAAACTTTTATCTAGGGGAACATAACACTGCAATAAAAAAGTCACTCCTGCACTGCTCTGGGGTACCTGAGCACTGCCTTCTTCACCCGCAAGTGCTCACTCACATGAGCAGCAGCATCATAGGACAGGGCAAACAGAAAGGTGAAAGCAGATCTTGAAGTAAAGATGAGGAGAGAGAAACCTAAACAGACTGGATATTAAAAATTTGCAATAGAAAGCAACTCTTCTGTGTACCAGATAGAAAACAAGGACTACTTTTTCAGCTCTAGGGATGTTATTTAAAGACTGAGTGATCAGAATCTAGCTTCCCCCTAAAACTCAACTAAATATATTCCAGTTAACAGCATCCTTAAGAAGGGAAAAAAACATATTTTCAAAGAAGGAGCAAGCCTGAGTTCCTGGAACAAAAATATTAGATAAATGTTCCTCCCATTTACTCTGTGCCAAAGAAATGGTATTAACATGATGAAAAAGTCAAACAGAAAAAGACAGGAGATTCAAAGTTATGGCTCCCCACGGCAAGAGTAAGCAGAAAGGGTACGGAACAGATGCCGTTACATTTTATACATTCATCATAACTCCTGGTATTGTTGGGTTTTGATGGCTGTGAGACTGATGGATCAGATATTCAGATAACTCAAGTTTGCCTGTGTGAACTGAGGAATAGCTCAGGCAAACAGTTACTTGGGTCAACTATGCATCTGCTCTCAGGTCAATGCAAACCCTGTGCCTTGTGGTGAGGATAACAGGAACCCAGACACGACTCACAGGAACCCATTACTAAGTTAGGGGAACATTTTATGGCCATTGCTGGAACAGACTGAACTGAAACTCCGGCTAAATACATCACAAGAAGTGATTAAAATCAAGCAAAAATGGAAGGAAAAAGTGAAGTGCTAGAACTTTGCCTAGCATCAGGCAAAATATTCAAGACTGACTGAGCTGACTATGGGAGAAAGCTTTTTTCACTTCTGTTTTTGTATTATGTGAAAATAAGTTTTTAAAGAGGGAGAGAACTTTAAACTATTCCCAGAGGGATAGAAAATGGCTATGGGGGAAAGTTGCAGCAATATGGGCAAACCAGGAGCCCCTCAAACTCTAAATACCATGACCTTGGGCAGCAGTTTCTGTGTTTCAATTTAGCACAATAATTACATAGGCCATGTGCATGTCCCAATTCTTAGCTACCCTGGGATGCAGCATGTTAGAGCAGCATTATAGTAGTGCTTAGAGACTTCAGCTAAGGGCTACACTGTGTAACAGAGCTGCAATAAATACATATAAAGCAGTGAAGGAATGAGGGCATGGGAACCCATTTTACCATGGAAATCAAGGCACAAAGATGCAAGTTCCTCAAAATCTAAGCGTGGAATGGAACCCACATCTCTCCTGAGTCTCTATCCAGTCTCCTAGTCAAAAGACAGCCCTACGTTCAAAAATGAAGTCAAGTACCAAGTGTTCTGTGTCTCTGTTTTTGATTTTTTTGTCTACACTGGCAAGGAGCAGAACCCTAATCTTAGGTCTTCCTATTCTCTCCAGAGAAACCTTCAGTTCTCCACAAGAACATGCAGATAATGTGGTGAGTGCATGGTTTAAGAAGTCAATATAGCTTCTCCACCCGAGGAGATGGGGCCTGACCAGAAGCGTATTTTGGTTTATGTTCTTAAATCTACCCAGCAAAGAAGTGGTCTAGGTATAAACATCAGCTGGCCCACTGACAGGCAGTGATGCTCAGGAAACAATAATTTTGCACTCCAAGCTCTAATCCTCTTTTGAAGATTGACAATTGTTAATGAGATTTATCTTATGAGCAGATAGAAACCAAAACATCAGCTTCTCTCTTTAGCAGATGATAAGGGATTTTCTTGGAGATTTTTTACACAATATCCATTAAGGAGATTTGAGGCTTCCATTCTCTCAGGAAATGATGCAATGGTAGGAAAGTATTTCTGTATAGGTGTTATACTTATTCAAATCAACCATGCTACTGGAACATGTCACAAACACTAATCAATTTAATTTCATGGTAGTCATATTTGCAGCTATGGGAAGGTTTAATTGGTCTTAGATTCAGAAATATTTGAAATTATTTTCAATTCAGGCCAATTTTTATATGCTTGTCTATACTGTGAATAGCAAAGTAGTGTCTATAGTGCAGAAATTACTTAAAGAAATATTATTGGCAAGGCTCAACTAGATGATCAAAAAGGTCCTTTTCTAGTATTAGTCTACTATTATTTAAAAGAATACAAACTAGTGATAACATCAACTTATTTTCTGTTATTGGCTGTGTCACAAAAAGAAGATATGTTGGCTGAAGTCCACTTGAGTTCAGCTTGACTCAAGTTCAAGTTAGTAATGCCCTAACAGCCTTATTTTGTGCAGCCTGACCCATGTCATAGTAGTAGGTATGATCTCATTCCACTGTCACAGTGACCATCCATCATTACAGTGAGCCAGATTTTCCCATCTTCAGAAACAGAGGCTCAAAAGTAATGATAAGAGCTGCTCTAATCTTTACATTCATGGCAATATGGTGAGCAGGTGGACAAAAACACTGTCTGTAATTTGACAAGAGATCTTTGCAGTTTTAATCTATTGCTTTAAGAACTTGTACAAGTATCAAATTTAATTGAAAAAAATACATATCTATATTAACAACATTCTTCAAAATGATTTTGAAAACAACTCAGGACAGTTTCTTTGAAAGAACTAGAAAGGACTTGGTGCATAAGCCTTATGCAGAAGGTGGCTACATCCCATTCTACGCATGCAAAAGTTCAGGAAGAGCAGAAAGAAACAGGAATTTTTGTCAGTGAAGGTCAGGTAGTCAACTCACTCATCTATAAAGGTTGGTGTTCACTCTACTTTGGTGTGTTGGAAACCATCTATTTATCAGAAGTATCTAAACCTGCATTAGTTTGTTTGGTCTTACCCGTTTCTGGCTGCACCGTACAATCAAGAAGGTCTCAATACTGTGCTCTTTCAGATAAGCGTTGCGTTCCCCTCCAAAGCCCAGCTCCACCTCATAATCTCCATTGAGATAGTTCAGGGTTGCTTTTGTTATGTGGATGCGCCTTGAATGAGACAAAAGACAAGCCAGTTTTGTAGGCTCTGAAAAGTTATCACCTAAAAAGCCAGTTCCTGTCAGTGACAGGTTCCATGTACTGAAACAAACAAGCAATAAAAATCAATTTATTTAGCAATGCCGCTACTCTTACAGATGTAGTACAGGACTTTCATCTATTTTAAAGGAAGAAGGCCAGGAGGTATCTTCATAAAGAGAAAGGTGTTCACATTAAGCATCTTACACATCCATTTATAAGCACCTCCTTAGATATAAAGCACTTGTTCTTTTATTCACTTTGCTCTAACACAGAGCAGATACTTTGTTTTTGCAAACACAGGCCCTTCACAAGGATATGTCTACTCAGCAGACACATGTAATATATACTGCAGTATGTATCTTTTTTGTAGTATCAGATTAATTACTGTGGTACACGAGTGCCTTGTAAAGGTATCCTATCAAGTACCATAGTCTCATGCTTTTTTCCAGAGTAGAGAAAAGATGGAAAAGCTCATAGAAAAATTATCTCACGGAGTCAACTTGGCAGCAACTCAGTCTTCAGTTGGTCCATACAGTGGTGAAACAAGAACTGATTCTGGTCTCTCACAGGAATGTTTGAAAACAAAAGACTGGTCTGAAACAATGCTTCATACAATATCCATCAATAGCTGGGATGTTCTCCAGCAAACACTGTTAACATACAGTCACATCCCTTTGTAACCATGGCCAGCTCTGCTAGGGTTCACACAGACCTGCTCATTTCTGTTGTATCTATCAGCTTTGTTTCACAGAGAAGGAATTCAGTTCTTACCACAGAAGGATATGCCCATCTTGGGATTTTGTAGACTTTCTGTAACCAAAGACATGTAGACATGGAACAGAATAACCTTGCTAACATTTGCACATGCTTAAAACGCTTCACCCACAGTTCATTTTACAGCAGACATACAGACTCTCTGAACCTCTGTCCCTCATCTCCCCACCTCACTGTGACACGTCCGACACAAAACACCACATGGATTAACATGACAGCTTTGATTAAACAACTTACCCAGCTTTGCCCCCTGCTTCCATGTGGTTCGCTAAAGTTACATCGTTGGACCACACATCAAACTGCCACTTCCTAAGGCCCAAGACCCCGCAGTGAACTCTCCCGCTGTGGATTCCAACCCTCATGTTGACATTTACTCCCGTCACCTCCCGGACTAGTCTGAAAAGAGGAATGGGAAAAAAGGACATCACTAGAAACTGCATGGTTGTAGTCAGTGGCACAAACTTGCACCCAGAACACAAAAATCCATAATGATCCATAAAGGATTCACGCATACACACAGTGCTGCTCACCCACATCAACAGGGCTACAAAACAAACCAGACCAGCTGTACTGCTCTTGGATGGCCTAGCTGGCCAAGCAGACTACTAATTAGAAAGGGGAGCCCTTGGAGTAAATCCATGTACTCTGAACTCATGGTCAAGTTGAGAACTCATAAAAAAAAAAATCTTTGGGGCAGTAAAAGGAATAAAGTGCTGGTCTCTGATTTCCATACCAAAGCTGGACATAACCTGCCAGCACTCAGCCTCATTAAGAGTAATAGCATGTTGTAAAGAGAAAAAGGAAATGATTTCAGAGATCTTAATTTGTCTGTATGGCACCAAGCATCAACTCTTCCACAGATGAAATATGATATGTGTGTGAAATACCCCACTGCAGTTGGAAAGCCTGAACAGGGCTTACAGCCGCAGTCAGAGCAGCAAAACCAGAGAACCACATCTATTGCAGTCACTCCAAACAGGCAGCTACAAATACTCAAGCTCTGATTTTAATGAGGTTTTGGATGCTCTGCTGAATCCCAAAATGACTGCTGGAATACTTTGTGGATTCTACCCTTTTAGGGCAAAAGTTAACTTCAAGAGCAGTTCACATGGAAAATATATTTAGGAATGTGGGTAGGGGAAAGTCTTGATGAAGCCATCAGAGCAACTCTGCTTCTCGTTAAAGTTGATCACATAATTCCCAGAATGTCCATGTTTCACAGGCAAATTCACCCAGATCACATAGCACAGTCCTTTCCTTTGAGTTGTTAGTTCCTTGCAGCATGAAGCTGTACTCTATACCTATCAGATTTCAACCTCTTTGGTTTTCAGGTTCATCTAGTCCTTTCTAGATAACATCCTCTGGACAGGTAAGTCCTCCCAACTTCCCAACATCAACACAGATCTAATATTTATGCTTTAGTTATTAATGAAAGTGAATGATTAAAGATAGGCCAGTTCTGGACTCTAGTTCACTCCTCACAGTGTGATATGCCCCTTAAAAGACTGTTCAAGATGACTTCTTGCTGAAACAGCTCCTACCCTCTTACAGTTCCTTTTTCCTTACAATGTCTATCTTACTTTTTACTATCTACTCACTGAAGTGACATTAATTACTTTTATTAACAAGCAGCAGAGATTCCCTGGCAGGGAAGGGAAGTTGCATATGGGTAAGGCGCCACAGGCTTACAAACTGAAAGTGCTCCACCACCACCACTTGGGAAAGCAACAGGAAGCAGGGTAATGAAAACGCAGCTGGAGCCATAACCCTTGCAAGGACAACAGTAGCTGCAGTGTGGGTACGGCACTGGGGAGGGAGGAAGAACATGCTGCATGAGTACTACAAACCCTACTGCACCCTCTGCCAAGCCACGTTACTGACACAAGACCAGAGAACTTCTTCAAATAGAGTCGTTGATGAGAAGGTGACTTTCTCCAGATTTTGCAGCAAACAAATGAGTTTGGTTATCCTTTATAGACAGATGAAATATTCTTTGTTACCTTCCTTTTTTTTTTTTTTTTTTTTAAAATTCATTTATACCAGCAGTACAGTGAATATAATTCTATCTTTCTGATCTGGGGTAACACTCCCTGCTGTTATTGTGCACAGATGAAACCAGCTTATGGGCAGGGCCCAGTTTTGGTGAAGTCTGCAATCAAATGTTCAGTAGCTATTGGTTACCTTAATTGTGAAACCTCTTATCTTCAGCCTTTGGCGAGGAGGAGGTGAGGGGGAAGCAGGGGTAGTGAGAACAGAGTCACCTTCCAGACTTATTAAGAGATAAGATTGTTAAATGCATTCATCATACATCAAGTGGGAAACAAGTTTTAAAGGCTGCTGAAGAGCTATTTGTAAACAAACTCTGAGTGCACTTCAGCTCTGTGTTTATATCAAGGTAAGGTGGGTTGCAGTTAATCAATGAAGTCTAGACATCCTGGTGCTACTCAGTCTTGTAGGGGATTATACAGCAACGTGTCAAGGTCTCTGGATTTCATCAGGCCAACTACTGCAGAAAGTGAGACTTTTCTGGGCAATGTACAGAGTCTCTTCTTTCTAGGGCTGGTGGCTAAGAATCACTGTTTCTCGTGTTTGACAAGATACTTTGTCACCTGCCACTTAACTGTACCTCATGTGCATGAAATAGCATCCTTTCATGGGCTACTGAAAACTAGTTACTTTCAACTCCCTTCATTTTGTGTTTTGCATACAAGGCCCAAAAGAAGACTGGTACAAAGCGACAGAGTTTAAAACCAGGCAAGTAAAGGTAGAAAGTTCTGACAGTGTATGCTGTATACAAAACAAGGAAATGCTGCTCTGTACTGTGCTTTGAATGGGGTCTCCTGAGTGAAAACACAGCTTTTCAAACTACATATCTGTGTTAGGAAAATGACACCGAGAAGTGTGGCTGTGTATTCATGTCCTTGCAGAAATTCAAATGGTAAGGATGTACTTATCAAGCTCAGCAAATACGTAGCTCTAGTTTTTATCAAGATGAAGTGGAAACTCCATCAATTTACTGAACAGAATGAGAGAACCACACAGAGATCTTCTACTTCTCTGTTGGTACCATTGATACTTCAGAAGATGCTTTCACAAAATAAAAAACTAGAAGAGAAGGGAAAAAGAAGCCGAGTCTCTGTGTAGCAGGGATGGTGTAGATATTAAGGTCAGCTCAGTTACCACCCAAAACTGACTGAACTTTGTATCTAAACTTGCATACACTCAAGATGACCAAACAGATCTTCCCTCCCTGAATTCTGAAAGAATTGGCCTGTGAAAGCTCATGTCCAATGCAAAAAAGATTCAACATTGTCTGCAATCCTCCAAGTAATATAATTAGATAGGGGTCTCATATTTGTTACTCTCTAAAGACAGGAATGGTCTGGACAAACACAGGATTGCTAGTCTGACCTCAGGAGCAGGCAAAGAACAGTTTTTAAAAGAAAACAAAGAAAGATGGGGAAGTAAGTGGAAATAAAGGAACAAGCACCATTGAACTGTCCCAGTCTGTGCCAGACCAACTTTATGGCTTTCTTCAATAATTAATTTAACTAAAGTAAGAAGGTCTTGAATCTGATCTGTTTGGCATAGGAACACATAGAGAAGGATTAGTTAAACTAGACAAGACAGACCCTACCAGAGGAATTGTAAGGTGAGTAAAAAGCTGGTTTAAAGACAGATAAGTGAAGAGTGACTGAAATTTAATAAAGTTATTATTAATCCTCTGATTTCACATTTCTGTAATTCACTGGAATCCTTTGGGAGTGAGACCTCCAGTAATTACAAGTAACACCTTTGCCTTTCTCATCAGGAGATTGAGCTCTGATATCCACATGGCTGAAAGGGACTCCAGTGTCTGTCTTTCTGCTGTCAAACCTTTACTGCATTTTCTTTTCTTGTTCCAGCTGGTCTCCCTTTTTGCTGGCATCAGTTCCCTGGTTTGGCTACCTTGCTACTAATGTAAGGAAGACCTAACGGGAAAGAGAATCTACTTGCTATTTGTTCTGAAATTCTCCATGGGGAATACGGTACTTACGAGATGGCCTCTATCATATCCATTCCCATTTCAACACAGCAGTGTGCATGGTCCGCTCTTGCTTCTGGCAACCCAGACACACAGTAATAGCAATCACCCAAGATCTTGATACGTAAACAGTGGTTCTCCTAACAACAACAACAACAGCAACAAAAAAAAAAAAGAGAGAGAAGTATTCAGCTTATATTCATGCTTTCAATAGCTTGCCTTTTAGGGCAGTGAGTATTTACAGAAATCCAGTGAACCAGCACAGTATGTCATTCTTGCAACAGGAAAAAAATAATATCAGAATTATAATAGAAAACTTACAGCTGCTAGCTTATCAAATCTGGCAAAGAGCTCGTTCAGCGTCATGACCAGCTCCTGAGCAGTGCACTGGGAGGCCAGACTTGTGAAACCCTCTATGTCTGCAAAGAGGATGCTTGGGAAAAAAGAAAAAAGAAAAAAAGAAAAAAAGAAAAAAAAAAAAAGTGTCACAAAATTTGTTGCTGATATTTGTGTAAGTTCTAGGGTAGAAGTCCAGGGATGGGGAGGCATGTAGGGGTGTCCCAGCCCTATAAGCAGCAAGGAGATGAGCACTCCTAATGCCACCTTATGATACAGCCTCTATCACATGTAAAGCCCTGAGGGCATGGCCTCATCTCCTCCAGAGATTACAAAGGGCGAGGAAACCCCACAAGCCTTTCATCCCCCACATCTGCCCCATGTCCAGAAAACGTACAGTACGCTGGAGCTGGTGGTGGCATGATAATGCTATCAGCCGTCATTACCAATAAAGCACTCCCACACAGTGACCAGATAAGCCCAGCTATAAAATCCACACTTACCCATTTTGTTCACAGTCCTACAGAATTGCACATTCCTACAGAACTACAGAAATGAAACTTCCCATTTGTTCCACACCTTCCAGCTGGCTTAGCCCCCAAAACACTATAAAAATATACACCTGCGGTGCTCGGGAGCTCCTCTCAGTGAGGCTACAAGCAGGCATCGCCCAACTTTGTGCCGAGTGACAAGCACAGCCCTTGCCAACAGAGGCAAACCTCTGCTATTGCAACAGGGATACGGAATCATTCCCATCCATCCAGGATGGACCGGGAAAGCCCTCTGAAAGCAGCATGGACTGTTTTGAAAGCACAATTATTTGAATCACAAGTATTAATAATGATTCTTTGATTTCAGTTAATCAATTTTTTAAAAAAACTATTCAGTAAAACGAGAACCAGACTGTCTATATAGGTCTAAGATAAAATGTATATATGAACACACATTTGTATAAAATTCATAAGCTATACTTGTATACTGGAACATTTATCAAGTGGTTGATTTCTTCTTTGAAGTTGATTATCACATCAAGCTGTACTTGAATAGGAAGAGAAATTAAAAGTGTAAATAACAAGCATTTTGGAATTGTTCCTTCTTTGTAAAATAAAAGTCCAACATGTTTTAAGCAAATTGCAGAGGCTACATTTACAGTTGGAATTCCCTGCAATGTCTTCAGACAGAAAGCAAAGACAACAAAAATATTTTCACAAGCATTATTTTGCAAAAATCCTGAAACACATTTCAGTTCTGGAACGCTTTTCATATTTTGCTTCTACATTTCCACTCCAATAAATAATCAACCAAACATCTTGTGTTAAATATTTCTTTGTTAGTCAGCCTGAAACTAAATGTACAAGAAAAAAAGCAAGAGAGGAATGTAGGGATGTCTGAATCAAAATATACTTTGTCATTTTTTAAACACTTGAGAAAAATACATAAAATAAATCAAGATTTCACATATTTACAAATAAAAGCAAACCTCCTGAAGAACAGTTGAAATCAACTGAAATCTTAAGAGATATCTGCATTGCTGGCTAAGCAACTTAAGTATGTTTTAATATGTGATGTACAAATAGGAAATATCTCCAGGTTTTGTGGCAGTAACAAAACATATCTTGTTGCAAGCATGTTCCTCTTCCAGCATGGGGCAAATTGCAAATTCCTCACTTGTGGACATGTTCACACTCTTTGCTTGTATGTGTGTGTTGTAACAGCCGTGTGCTATAACAGGAGGAGTACAGAGCAACTGCTACTCTGACATTCAGATAGCAACGGGTATATCTGAAAATACTACACAGGGATGCCCTGAGCTACCTCCTCATGCCTGATTCAGAAAATTAGCACTAGCGTAGCATCCTAATAAACATGAATAAATGACTGAAGGCTGCCCCCTCCTTTCCCCATTACTATCATGCCAGATAAATGGATCAGTCATTCGAGGAAGTTAAATTGTGGCAATATTTTCAACCAGGCAAATGAAGTAGTCAGCAGAGACCTATGGAGCCAACCTACGCAGAAATTTATGCCTTTTCAAATTGAAGCTACTTGATGACAACATTTTTTCAAACTTGTAACCTTCTATGAGTGACCAGCAAATTGCTCTTTGTTCAAATTCAGCAGCTATCATCTCCTTCATCTTGATCCTCGTCTTGCGCTTCCAAGGACAGCACGGCTTCCACATGCAGCTCTGGCTGAGTTCTAGAAAACCACAATTATAAGCAACTACAAAAGGGTTTATTATGAGAATAAAACCCAGAAAGGTTGCACAATGGGACTCAGAAATGCATTCTGAACATAAGCCAGTAGCAATATCAGATAGTTAAAACTGTCTGACACCCCTGTTAGGAAGCCAACATTTACTACATGAGATGCTTCTCTGAATGAGTCTTGTGAGGAAAGAGGGATGCATGAAACAATTTCATCAAAGCCAGTTTGATAAGTTTGGAGAGGGCAGTCAAGGAAAAAGAATTTTGGTTTTATCTCATATAAAGGAATGAATAAGTCCTTTTTTAGATGCTTTAAGTCTCTTTTCACTCTTGAACGTGGACATGACTCTTGGCAGTAAGAGGAAGAGCTTCATCGGGCACATCCCTTTTGCTCTTTATATATAAAAAACCTACTCAGAATTGGTTACATGTTAAGTCCTTTGCACGACTCAGGTTTTGCACACTTTGTGATTAACATGAACGTATCTTCCCGCATGGGCCATCCCTTTGCTCCTCTTCCATGTCAGCTAACCAAGTAACATATGTACCTGTTGCAGCACCTGAGCATGTTCCATTGCAGGCTTCAGACAGCTGTGTGACCTGCTCTGCTGCAAAGAGCTATGCCACTGAGCTATCAGAAGACACTGCCTGGGACACACGGGCTGCAGGGAATGAAAAACCTCATTCAGGGTATGGAAAAGACCACATGGGAGATGGCAGAGGACGGAGTGGTGATCTGGGAACTGAAGACAGAGACGGGAAAGACAGATTTGTGGCAGGAAACTGGAGAAAGAACAGCACACGACTGTCAGAGAAAACAGTCCTTGCAAACAGGAACGCAGCCTGAACCGTCTCTGTCCTCTGCTCTCAACAGAGAGCTCTGAAAGCCACTAAATCACATTTTACTCCTCCTGCCTAATCTGTTCCCTCCACACACTCCTGCTAGTGCTGCAGCTGCAGAGACAACAACCAGGTTTATCGCTCCCAACCCTGCTAATGACCCGCAAGAGAGGAATGGGGACCCGTGTACGTGGGGTTGTGCCATGCCACTTCTGTTCCTTTTGTTATTAGCCCCAGTAACCCTTAAATTCAGCATTCTCCCTGTAAAATACCTAACAGCCCAGAAGCAACTAGGAAAAAAGTAGATTTCTCTTACACTAGCCATCAGGGAACAGCACATCATATTCATCCCGTGTTTAGTCAGAGCTTTTCTTTAAAAACGAAGCCTGCTATATCTCCTTACACACACAACACGCATGCAGTGAGGTTGCAGGAGTATCTCCCAAGTCCTGCCAGTGCATTTTATACAAACTAGGAGGCTTAAAGTTTAAACACTCAGCTTCCCCACTTAGGTCCTCACTCCACACTTCAGTCTTTCATGTCAGACTACCCTTAGCAATGAAAAGATTTTATTAAAGGACGATGGCGATAGAAGATTGTGATGAAGGGCACAACTCAAGCCAACTATTTGTCAGTCTTCAGAGGACAAGGCATTTCCTTGCTGGTGGGAGCATAATGCCAGTAATAGGACTTCCTTGTGCCAAAACATGGGGTAAATGACGGTCATCAACAAAAGGTCAAATGAAATAATTATTATAGCTATAAAATATCGTGAGATAAGTAAGGCAGTGGTTTAGAAGTACTATTAGCTGAAGCTGACTGGAAGGGATTGACCGCACAATCTGCAGCCTGGGCGTCAGCAAGTATTATCTGCCCTGGGTCCCAGTCCCTTCATCTGGAAGGCTACTGCTTTGTGGAAAAACCAGTTTAGCATGTAATTAAAATGTTGTAATGGCTTCAGAGCTCTTGATATATTTTCCACTCCGTCACTGCCTTCAGATTTACCATCTGATTGGGATCTGTCCAGCAGTAACCAGGGTATGACCTCAAAAAAGACAAAAAAAGAGGTTTATTTCTGGGAAAGACAAACAAGAAAAGGGGAGTTATCATTCATTTTATAAGTTTTTTAAAAAATTATTTCTGTTTAATTTTGGTTGAAAAGTACCACAAATTGTGTTATAGGGTAGAGGTGAATACTTTCCTAATCTTCTATTTCAGCTCCTATTTCCAGCAAGGACTGGCTCAAGATTTCATAGCTGTACAAGGCAAGCTCAGTTTTGTGCCTGTTGCCCTACAGGAATCATGATGCTGATAGGGAAGAAAGATGAAACAGAGCTTGGATATCTTCCAGATCCTGCCAGGATATCCTTTTCTCTGCTTAGGAACCAGCCTGATACCTGCCTGCTCTCACCCCAAGCCCCAGGCAGAGGAGCAGGAAAGGGGGATGCACAGACTGGGGCATCCCTGTGCAGCTGGCTCCTGCTGATTCCAAGAGCCCAGGGCTGATGGGCAGCACAGGGCAGGCTGGGCACGCAGCTCTAGCTGCCACTGCCACCGGGATGCCAGCCTCTGCCTGAGCTTGGCCATTACCAAAACCACCACTGCTGTGGACTGTGAGAGCTCCATGAGCAGGATGTCTAGATGCTTTTTGCAGAGTGCTTTGCATAGCTGCAAAGGCAGAGTGGGTGAAATGGAGAGAGGAGCAGCTAAGATGCAGAGCCAGGAGGAGAAAATTCCCAAAGCATTGAGCTCAGCTTTCCCATTTTTTGGTCTGTAATGCATTCACAGAATAGTAAAGATACTCACAGACAGGCAGCTCAGGTACCAGCAGGAGTCTCCGTGCAAGATCTGAGAGATCAGCAGTGTGAGCCTGCCCAGCTTGGGTTGCTTTCACAGTCTGTGCTCAGGTCCATCCCACCGCACCCTGGGTCCTACCACTGCAGGTCATTTAAAACTAGCTCCTGTAACTCAGGTGATCGTTGCTGTGACTATACCGCTAACATACCCTGAGGCAGAAGCATCACAGGATGTTTTGGATGGCAAAGGAGAA